GGCCAACGTACTAAGTTCATCTGCGAGAGTTGTCCGGCGACCTGAGCGATCTGAAGACCTGATCCCGCAGATGTAGCGAGACGTGTAAAAGACCTCCCCTACAATTAGCCCAGTCGACATCAGTCGATTCCTGTTCATGTGCCTGGGCTTTGTTGTGCTCTGCTGTCGCCATTCTCGGGTCCATCCCAAGTTCACTGCCATTCGCATTGCCGCTGGGCTCGAAGCACTGCCTGTGGAAGGAGATGAAGGAGTAGAACCGCCAGCTCTGAAGCATGTCACAGGCAACAGTGCAAGCTCCTCCTGGCTTGGAGGCACCATTCAAGAAGACTGCCTCCAGAACAGCGTGTATCGCTATCGCTACACAGCATATATCTGCACAGGGACAGAGCCACCAGGCTCTGGACATCGATGTGGTCAAGGCTTGCATGCAATCTAAGTTTGTCTCAGAGACAGAAGTATACCTACCGCGCCCACTGGTCAGGAACTGCGAGAAAGCATAGTGAAGGAGGCTGCAATACGCACAGGGTAAAGTCTGGTCCTGCTGGGCCTTCGTGGAAGGTGGCAGAAAGAGTGACAGAAACGTGCATGCGCCACCTAGAGTCGACGACGCAGGCCACAGCACCACCCTCAGATCAGTGAGTACTGTAGTTGGCACTGGTGATGAATGTCCGAAATGATCTCGAGCAAGGTCGATGCGCTCTACAAGAGGGGCCAGAAAGCGGTAACGTGCGGCCATGAGATGTGAGTACGGGGTGGATGCTCTTCTGCTTGCTGAGTGGCGCGTGACGAGAGCCATAGCAGGGCCGTGCGTGGGATGGGGAGGTACATGCAGCAACAGCAGAGCCTCAACACTGAACAACTGCAAAGCTTGGGACTCGTATCTTTGGTTCGAGCTAGAATCTGCAATCGTCGTGTGTGAGAAACAGAGCCGCGGAGGCGAGATCCAAAGGTGTGCCGAGTTGCAACCTCAAAGTTCGAACTTGCAGATGAGTCGCACTGTTTTTTCTGTGCCGTTACATAGATGTCACTAACGGCTCTTGCTTGATTGCCTGAACTGAGGTCTTGTCGAAGGCTAGAAGGTGGGTCGCTTCTACTCACCAAGATGTGCCACACGTCAGTTATTGTGGACATATGGTCGAGTTGAGGCGAGAATGCGGTGCTTAGAGCCAATTTGGAGGCGTGGAGTCTCGGAGTTTTCTTACGCACTACTTGCGAGTTCCGTAGATGTGCCTGCACGGGTCGGTTGCAAGATGAGCAGATAGCATTTTGCTAAGCCGACACTGTTGATCGCAGAACTGCCGATTGGCATGAAAGACTTGGCTTGGAAGATGTTTTCTGTCTTGAATATACCAGCCCTCAGAAATAGCAAGGCCCTGATGAGACACCTGACCGTTCTGTTCGGAGCTCCGCCGTTATTCGCTTTGAGGGTCTGTGTGATTGCAATCGCAGCCTACTTCTGGTCGAGCTTGACTTTATCATGCGTGCAATTGGCCACTTCTGAGGCTGAGGCCCTCTGCTCCATCAACTTCAGAGCCCGCCGCCACGCAGGCGGGCCCTGATGTCAACTAGACTACAATCAGCTGCCGATCACTGTCTCGCAGGCACTTGATGAACTGGAAACAGCATCGGTGCCTGCGCCGGGATCATAGCTGCAAATCACACGCTGTACTGCAACCATATGTGACCGTTGTTTCTTTTTTTTCCGGCCGGGGTGTGGCCTTTTTGTCATCACCAACATGGTGACGTTGCAGCCGAAGTTGTTTTTCTTTCCTTGCGGGCGGTCCGATTTTTCTGGGTCTGGGCGAGGTGCTCTCTGCAACACAAACATCGGAGTGGACGGGTGCGAAGTCTAACAGGATCGTTTCTGGAACGGAAGCGTCATGAAGCGTCCTGGCACTGGCTCATCCTGCCGCTGCAAGGGTAGTGACCGCTGCAAGCGGATATACATCTCAGCATAATCAGGTCAAGTGGAGTTTTTTTTACCATCGGGTTGGCATGTGCCTGTGTCCAAACAAGGAACGGAACAGGCAAGACGCGCAGTGCTTTCATCATGCACCTGGGCAGGGCCTGCTTGATGGAGGTTGTTTTTTCCACCGGACCTTCCGCAAAACACCACGCGAATGGCCGAACTCATCCGGATAAAGATCGCTAAAGGCTGAAGCATGCACTGTAGAGTGGGCGCTTTCCACCCGAATAGTTTTCAGACTTCCAGGCACCGCGATCCGGACACGGACGAGGTCCAAGCAGACTGAAGGTCGACCGATCTGTTTTTGTGCGGAAACGTTGCTCAGGTGGCTGATGTTGCTGCCGGATCCGGGGAGAGCGGCCCTGACCCCACCAGTGCGAGCATGTCAGGCTAGGCGAGCTGCAGCTCGAGCGACGCGTGACTTTTCCCCAGGCAGCCCGGCCTCGACGCAAGCGGAGACTCCGTCGGAGACGCCTGGCGCTTCGGAGGCTTGCTGCCAAGTGCAGATGCACGTTTCGCCGGGTGGAAGACCTGCGATGATGGTGAGGCTTTCACCCTGACCCTACGAAGAGCTGACACCGTTCCTGTTGGACTCCATGTCACAGGCACGAAACCGGAGCACGGTCCTGCTCCTTGGCGAATTCCCCCAGGGGCACAGACTGTTCGCAGGCGAGGACGGCCTTCTCGTGGAACGAGTGCTGCCAGGGGGAGCCGTCGAGGCGCCGCTGTGAAGCCGGCGGCGTCTCTTCTGGAGTCCCAAAACGTCGCCCGGAGTCGAGCGCAGGCCTGGAACCGACAGTGCCCCGGCCTTCGTGAGATCCGCGTCGGTGACCGCGGGCCTGCCGCTGCTTGATCTGCCGACATCTGCCGACATTTGGAGACTTTGAGGGTTTAGGGAACCACCAGCAACTCTCTGTGAGCTCCCTGCATCCAGCGCTCCCGGGAACGGCGGTGACCGGTGGTGGCTCTCGTGAAAGGTTGCTTCATCGACGTAGGGTCCTGGCAGACTGCTTTTCATGCAACAAACGTGAACAGCACGACAACAGCGCGTAGAGAATCTAGGGGACACTGGATCTTCGCAAGTGGCCCGGCATCCTAGCACAGCATCTTGTCTTGGACTCCCTCTGTGCATAAAGCGTTTCTGCCATCACACCTTGACGATGCCAGGCATCGTCAGCATCAACGGCCAAGATGACGCCGAGGCTATGCGGACGGAGTGCCTTACAAAGTACCTTCTCAGGATGACAGCCCCGGCCTCGGCACTCTTTCACTCTGTCTTTCTGTCGCCGTCGCCGTCGCCTTCCTTCCTTAGCTCGCCCTTGGCCTGACAATCTGCCGGCAGGGCCGGTCGTCGTCGCGTCGTGTTCGCGAGGTGCAGCGCGGCAGCGGCCTCCGAGCAGAGGCGGACGAGTTTGTCCCGCAGGCTCGAAGCGGTCTGACGGGTCTCGCTTGGCTGCTGCTATTCTTCCGCAGGCCTGAGGCTGTGCCACGGCCATGCAGGGCCAGGGTCTTCGCAACCCATAGACGAGGCGCCGATCTGGCACTGCATCAGGCAGCCTCTTGCCGAATGCTGCAAGGTCTCTCACCACTTGAAGTGAAAGGGGCCTCCGTGATTTCAGATTTCAGATAGTGCAGGCAAATTCGGGTCAGGTCCTGCAGGGGAGATGCAGGCCATCCGCGCTGGCAGAGGCATCTGTTTGACGAGACATGAAGTTTGAACACAGGGACCGTGCTGTCGAGATCCGGCCAGTGCTACCGAGACTTGCTAGTCAATCGAGAGGGGGCGCGCTGTGGATAAAAGCTATTGGCCATGGGCGATGCCAGCACTTCAGTGTTTCATCAAGCCGCAGGACTTGTCACACCCGCCGTGGACCTTAAGTTGCGAATTCGGAGTTTTTCTGCAACAGAACCAATGCCGCGCACATGCCTAGTCGATCCCAGTAGCATCAGTCGCTAAAGGTATCGACGATGCACCCGGAACGTTTTCATATAAGTAGCAGAGTGTCGTTCCTGCCATGTGGTGCCGAGATGGCAACAGCGTGGCTGCAGAAACGTCTCGCGGCTCTGGAGTCATTTCAAGAGGGCGAGGCGAGGCAGCAGAAGCTTTGCAGCCCTTCGTTTCGGCTGTGCTTGGCTTCCAGTCGACAGGACGTGCTCGAGCCAACCCTGAAAAGCCCCAAGAGAGAGGACCCTTACAGTGGCTACGAGGTGCTTGGGATATTGTTTTCGGGGTGCCCTAACCTGCACTGGCTTGTGCCAGGTTGCAGACACTCTCCGCCAATTCGTTTCCAAGGGCCTGCTGACAGACATTGACCTGTCCGGCACGACCCCTGAAGAGGAAATCGGTGATGACCTCAGCGTCGCAGAAGCAGAATGAAGTTCAAAGTGATTGCTGAAGTGGAACAGCTCCACCTTTCCGCTGACACGGCACGCAAGTGCTGTGAACCTCCCTGGTGCTGAGGAGATGTGGGTGTTGCAAATTTAACCGCCGTATTGCTGGGCAAGGCCCAGCACATCCAAGGGTCCGAGGGATAGCCATGTCGTTGAGAGCAGGTGGCCAACTTGACAAGGTCGGAGACTTACTTGACTTGTGCATGCTTCAGCACGGATTGCCAGAAGCCACTTTGCACGATACTTGTACGCCCAAGTTTTAACGATTCGGGTTCTTTTCATTGATACTGTTCATGTATGTTTGCGCGCTTGTCCTCGATCATCCCCCTGCTTAAAGCGGTTGTTTGAACTGGAGTCTTTGACATCACATGTATACTGTATACTGCTACCAGACTGATGCGATCGCCCGTCCACCTTTTTACACAGCTGGGTTGGGGACAGGTGAGTAGGATCACAGGGGAAGGTCAGTCCGATCCAGGCACCCGTACAGCCATCCTGAGCCCCTTATGAGCCCCGGGCCCCTGAGCCTGAGCTCCAGGCTGTCCCTACGACGGGTCGGGCTGGGTGCTGCAGGCTTCCGCGAGGCGAGAACTGTCGCTGGCATCTGCGGGTTTCGTGAGCTAATAAGCGGCTGGAGGTTGGGCGCTTGTTACGGCAATGCCCGACCCTGGAGGCAGCTCGCAAGACTCAAAGCATGCCTCTAGAACAACCTTCGACCTCTGGTTGAACAGAGTCCGTGGTGCATTCCAGGTGTTGGATCTGAGTTGCAGAAGCCTCAGACGACTTCTGTCCGCTGTGAAATTCCGCAAGTGCGTCTGCCTTCATGTCTTGATCTTGCTGAGACAACACCGCTGGTGTAGACGGCCTTCGCGGCAATTTTTGCGAAGCGCTGGACGATGCCAGGCCATGGGCTTCAGTCGCAAAGGGAAGACCCAGTCTCTGTATCACTAAGGTGCTTAAAGGTGCTGGAGTTGCGAGGTTGTGGACTTCGAGACGAAGGGTCTGAGACCCTACCTGGTGCACGTGTAAATCGAACGGGTAATAAGAACCAATCAGATCTGCCGAGGCTGGAGCCTTTGTGCGATGTGAAGACCTGGCATGATTGGGCGTCTCTGGCCACGTGCTGTGCGAGACGGCCCCGCGTTCTTCTTGGCAGGCTGGAGCGCTTCGACGAGGCCTTGAGGCCCTCTCTTCTCTTTCTCAATCTAAAGGCGTCTTGCTTTCCCTTGAGCCATGAGGCCTGTAGTGTCCGTCCAGCAGCTCAGCCTCAGCACGAGCTCCAACTGCAAGAGAAGAGCGATGAAGAGCGTATGGGCGAAGAAAGGAGCAAAGCCAAAGCCAAGAGCCGGAGCCGAGGAATCATCTGACGGCGGCTGCGGCAAGGCCAGGCTCTCGGCTCGCCAAAACTTCGAAGAGGCACGCGGGATGCGTGGGCGTGCGCCTTTCTCCAAGGCGCATGGCGAGGATGCTTGCGACCAACTTGAAGCTGGAGGCGTTCGGAGGAGCTGTGTAGACTGCGGTGTCTTGCTCTTTTCTCCAGGAGTTGGACATCTCTGACAACGAGCTGAGAGAGGACATGATCAGGAAGCCTCGAGGGTGACAACGATTGAGTTGGCCAGGAAGGCGGTGAACACCTCGCCGGTGGCTTGAATGCCAACAAGGCGAGGCTACAAGAGCTGGGAACAGCGGCTTCGAAAGACTGCCGCGGCTGCGTCCTCGCACAGGGGCGTTTGCAGAGACTTAACATTTCTCACAACCTTCTCAGAGTCAGCGTCCCAGGACGACATCCCGTAGACGTTAGGGCGCCTTCAACCGTTGAAGACTATAGCTGATTTGAGGTGGACGGCGCACGTCCACTCCTGGAGAGGTTCATGACGTTTCCGGGCAGCAAAATAGGCAGCAAAAGGATTCGGTAGCAGCTACAGCTCCCACCTGGAGAGACATGCCTTCGAAACTCTCGCCTAGGACAGATTCTAGCCTGCGCATGCAAATCAGGAGGCATCGGAAAACGCTTTGTGCATGAGAGCGTATGGCAGTATATGGCAGTCAAAGTTCAGTGACGGAGGCTTCCTGGCACCAAGCATGGCTTTGTCTTGGACGGGATGGTGGCTTCGAGCTCGGCTGTCTCCCTTTCGGTGGCAGTTTGAAGGTGACTGGGGAGCGGCTCGTCTCAGGTCACTGGGCTGGAGTTCATGGCCGCGCGCTGAGCGTAGCCACAGCATGCCACGGCCTCTGGAAGACATGCTGATGCTGCAGGGTTGGGTTGAGCAGCACAACAACCGGAATCGATCCGAAGCGGTCTTCGCGGGTGACAGGACCGTGACGCGCGGATGGAGTACCGCGATCAAGAGAGACAGAAGTTTCAGTGCTGGTGTGCTCCTGGGATGTGCTCTGGCCTGGCCGTGGGAGAAACAACAGCATGCGTCTGGACTTTACCCCTCTGCAGGTAGTCAGTTGACAGTGGCATTGTGGGTGCAAACTGCAGACACCGGTAGCCATGAAGGATCGGGTAGTTGTTTCTTAAGTTGCAGAGAGAGATTGAAAGAAAGAGAGAAGCAAGCCCGCAAGCCTGGTGCAAGAAAGAAGCAAGCAGTGGGAACGAGACGAGTCTTCGGGGAAGGTCCTGACCAAGTTTGTACAATGCCTCACCAGTCGGAGCAGAAGGATTGGGAGGACTTTTGTGGCATTCGGCAGCTCGACTCTCTGCCCGCAGACCCTGCAGTGTTGATATGTGTCGCGCTTAAGACACAATGTTTGGCAAGCTGCATCCCACTAGTGGCTTGAGGAGTTACTTTGCTGCATGTAGGATTTTTTTCTACCGTGTGATCGTAGTGTAGTCAGTGTAGTCGATATACTGTACAGCGAGTGCCGCTGCTATACTTCCCAGAAGGCTTTTGGCTGCCAGCCGTCACAGGGCACATGCGACTCAGAGCCTTTGTATTTCAGCAGCCCCCCTGCGAGCAAAGCCACAAAGGACCGAGAGGAGATGCTCATCGGGAGGGAGAGTTTCTGAGAAGTACAGCAACGGGCAAACCTGACTACGCGAAAGCTGTAGCCTGCACTGCCGCACCGGCCAAGACGAATGAAATAGCTGGCTTCCTTCCGGTTATGTCGGCGGCAAAGTCCGGGTAAAACAGCAGATCCCAGGGCGGAGCCAACTCAGTGACAACCTCGACATAGAACTGGAAAGGCAGACCGGCCAAGGGCATCGGAAGAGATGATGGCACTATGATATCACAGGAAATCAACCAGCAGGCCATCGCAGGAAAAGTGGTCGAACAGCAAGGTGCTACAGGGCGCCTCAAGCCCAAAGAGATTACGTAGTGCCACGAGGTAGCATGTTCGGGCCAGGTTTATGCCCTCAGAGAAGGAAGCAAAGCAACAGCAAAGGCGGCGAGCAGGATGCAGAGAGTGTCCCGGAAAACACAGCCGGGGACAGGGGTGTTGAACAGTCTCAGGGGGCAATGCCCTGGGGTGCCAATGGTGCTGCAAACAGCGACAGGACGTAGATCGGGGGGGAGTAGAATGAAACCGGAGATGCAGGCTCAAACATGCCCGAACTTCTCCATGTCAAACTGCATGCGTCGTTGGGGCAGTTTAGGCGATTTTAAGCGTCCCTCTTCTTGGTCCGAGTTCAGGGAGATGATGTACAGTGTGCCGCGATGCAAAGCTTGTGCGAGGATTGTTGAGGTGAGTGGCAAGACCACGCCAGAGGACATGCTTCTCGAGCTGACTGTGGGAGAGGCCGAATTTTGGAGATACGGTTCGAGGAGGGAAGCTACTCGGTCCTCTGTCAGGTGCTCGATGTGACGCTTCTTCGGGACGGAGTCTGTCCTCCTCTCGGAGAGATTTTGCTATGTGTCCGCTTGCTCGAAGCGCAAGCGTGTGCTCCCGGAGGCATGAAACATCTTGACATTTGTTACAATCTCCTGGGCAAGAAGGGGACTCAGGACCCGCACTCGCTGGCACAACGGCCTCCGTTCGCGTCATGCAGCATCGATGCGGTCATAGAGTAGCTGCTCTACTGCAGCATTGTCTGCGCAGGAGCTACATACCCTGGCCGGAATCACCCGTAAGGCCATCTACTGCCAATCTTGGATGTTTGCGGATCTAGTGGCTTAGATCGGGTTCGAGATCTCCATGTCAGCCTGCGTGCCTCAGTCCTGCAGGGCAACATGATTGGGAACCAGCTCCGATTTGATGGCGGCACGAGGTGCATCATTGCACTGCGACTGGACCCACGAGTCTGTGTGGCTTGCGCACAGGATCACGTTACTGAATGCGTACTGATCCCGTAATCGACCCTGGCCTTGCAAAGCAAGTGCCGGGGAGACCAGTAGTGACTAATATTGACTAGTGCATGGTACTCCGAAGGAAAAAAGGAGTGGTGCATCCATGACGGGTCCATTGCAATTACTCAGGACCTGCAGCACCATGCGCCTGAGCATTCCATGCGTCGCTCTGGCCCGAAATCGCTTGAAGGGGTGCCGACACGGTGCACCAACATCCGGAAGGCCGAGATGCTGAGTCGACGCCTGTCCTTCGAGCTGTGTGTGCCGATTTTCTTCAGGTGGTGGCAGCAATGGCACCACCGCATCGAACGCCGCTGCTGGTCTGCCCGGCAAGCTTTCGATGCTTTGCTCTGCACCTGATGCCTTTCTTGATGAACATCCAGGTTGTAGCCTGCGCGGCTTTGCTTGCTGCCTATGTCCTATCCGAAGCTTTTGCTGTGACTACCTCGCCTAAGGCCGGAAACCGGTCATAGCCGGTGTAAGACAAACATGATTGTGCCCGTGGAAGACTTGAGCAGGCTCTCTCTCCTCCACGGCTTTCTGCACAGGCCGCCCAGTGACACCAGAAGCTTGTCTTACGCAGCTGGAGCTCATGTCTGAGGCGGTTGGCGCAGGACTGCCAGCCCAGCATTCTTCTGAAGGCCCAGAACTCAGAACTAGGTAACTAGGCCTTGGCAGTGCCGTGTCGGCTTTAAAAAACCCGCCCAAGGTTATGGCGCTGTTGGTGGGGCCATGTGCGGTGCAGCATGAACCCCAGCTGTGGGTCATGGTGCATCTGGTTTCATCACATCTTTTGCCAGGTAGCGGCTTTGCTAGCGGCCGGTGGTCTCGCAGTCCGCAGCCAACGCAAGAGCCGGTCGGTTCAGTGCCATTGCCTTACAAGATCTCTGAGCCAAGTAAAGGGAAGCAGCGCGTCCGTAGGGTGTCTGCTGCCGTCTGTTTCTTATTCCCAAAGTCGTATTGGATCTGTCAACTCTGCACTCCTGCTTCTTCTGCTGCTGCCGTGTCAAGCAGCAGAACCATAGCACCGAGTCGGTGGCTTTTCCGGTTTGGGATTCATGGCTATTTGGGCAAAGAAGTGGACCGGCGAATCAGGCGAATCAAGTAGTGGGCCATAAGCCCTCTGCAAAGCAATGTCAAGGTTTTGGCTCAGTTGAACAACGACTGAAAACCTCTTCTATCGTACCAGGTCGTGAGCGTATGTTGCACTCCTCTTTCGAAGTGTCTCGTGGAGTCTTGAAGATGGATTCCCCGGTCCCTTTCACATTGGCTGTGCGCCATGCTAAACCCTTGCTTCTTTCCCACGATTGATGTTTTCCAATCGTTTTGTCTGATGTCTTTTTGACCTTGTGGGTTCCTGTTGTTTACGTTTACGTGCCTTCGCATGCCCCTGGCACTCACTACACCCCCTCGCTGACTTCGAAAACACCGGCCTGCGCGAGGTTGTCGTTTTGTTGCACATGTTCTGCTCCACGTGTCCGAGGTTTATGTCTCATTTCTGCTTTCTGTGTTTGTTGCACCAAAATTAAAACGGATGTCGTTTCTGATCGTACATTTTTCTTGCGACTTCGTCAACGTGGCCTGCACGGTATATTCCTTACATCCTGAAACTATGTCTTAGCCTATCTTGCTGTTTGTGCAATTTGTGTTTTTTTTTTTTAGTCTTTCCTGTTTTCGGTGATGTGCTCCGCTTGCTTGGGGGGGTGGGGTTGGGGGGAGGACAGCCAAGGGTTCGGCGTGATTGCGAAATTTCCTGGACTGCCCTGATGCCACTCCCATGTTTACTGTCACATGCAGGGGTGCATGCAGGTTGCTCTCAACTTCTGAAATGCACCGATCACAAACCAACAGCTGCGACCTGGGCGAGGGTTCATTGTATGCACCGGCCATATCCCATCACACAACATCAATCAAGCACACAATGCACCATCTTATAGCAATCGCAGCAGGGCAGCAGTAGATAGCTTTAAGTAGCATTGCGATTCGCAACACACCGCGCACAAACACACAGCATACACCATCCTAATACCAATCGCAGCAGTAGCAAGACTTCATGGTCAGCTCATCACTACACACGAAACATCAGAACAAGCACTAGATAGTCAAAGCCTTATCAATACAAGTTTGTCCGGAGTGCAGAAACACACGATTCCCCGAAAAACCCGACCCACAAAAGGACCCCCAAAAGGGACCCGAACTTAAGAAAATTTCCCATACAGAGCCCTTACAGTATCCTTATAGAAACCCTAACAGATCTCTTCAAGGAACTCTCAAAAGGGACCCGCATTTAGACATCCAACTATCCACTTCCAGAAAAAAAACCGCAGGGATTTTGTAGCATTCATCTCGTCTACACGCGGGGGATGAAGAGTATCAGCTGGAGAAGCTAGCGGTATCGGCACCAGTGGTTAACAGCAACGACAGCAGAATCTGAAGGAGGACCAGGAAAGAAACACCAAGGAAAGGCAATTTCCCTGCACACCTTACCATATCAACCGAGACACCGAGACGAGATGAACACGCTCGGAAGGGTGTTCTGCAGGCTTCCATTGTGTCGTGCTTGGAGGATGTGCCATACTGGACGTTTTCCCGACCAGGTTTCCATGTTGCCAATTCTGGCACAGCAAAACAAAGTCTTTGGCTTTGGTGTGGTGCGCTGTGACACTAAGGCAATGCATTCTCGAGCAGCAGCAGTCAGCGTCCAATAACATGCGGAGTGTTCAGCTGGCAGCAAGGACATGTGGTGCCATGCCATGCAGGTGGCTTCATGGGAACGCCCTGTGCATCTTCTTACGTTTGGAACCACCAGGACCGGCTATGACTTGTTGAAGCAAGCCTGACTTGTCCTATCGCACAAGAGCACCAGATCATGCAATGCATGTTCGTTTTTGTTGGTGCAGCTTCAAGACAACGCCGGAAGGGCAGCTCACTCTGAACCCTAGAGCCACAAGATTGCTCAAGCTGTGCAGAGCCCTCAACGACCTGTGGACCATGACATTCCCTCGTGGCCTTCGTCGCCTGGTTCTTTGGTCTCTCCTTGCGCTCGGCTTGGCTGCAGGCAATGAAGAGAAGGAGCCGGAGGTCTGCGACGTGGGACTTCTGCAATCGCACCGTGTCAAAGCCGAGACCGACCCTTCGAAGGAACTGACGCCACATCCCTTCTATGCGGCGGTCCAGCGCGATTGCATGGAAGAGACGTGCATCATGCTTGGACGCAGAAGGAACTTTTACGAAATCATGGCCACTTTGGAGGCTCACCGGGACACTCTGAGCAAAAGCTGCCGGCAGACAGCCTTCGGTGGTACGCTGCAGAAGCCAAACAGCCTGATCTTCACGAAGGTCGGCACCAAGGCAGTCGACCTCGGTCCGCAACTAGGACTACCCACGGACTTCCAGTACTCCGTCAAACAATGCATCGGCTATGTGGCCGCTCCCCTTATGTACTCTACTCCAGGTCACACTGCCATTTACAGGACGTGGTTCCTTATCTATGCGGCAAAGACACAGCCAGCCCCCAAAGGAATGCTCTTTGTCCATGCAGGCGGCCCTGAAGCGGGTATCCAATCTGGTCGTGGTTTCTATGCTTTTATGTTCAAAGAGTAATTTGGACCAGATCCAAGAGTATGACGTAGTCTTTGTGGACCAGCGTGGCATGGGTTTGTCCTATGCTGGGCTGCTGAAAAGACTTCGCCATCCCCACATCATGGGAGGAGGCGAATCACTCGGACCTGAATTCGGCTGTTGCTGGACCCCTCGCATCGAACATCAACTTCACCGACTCCGAGGGGCGCGTGCACGAGCCGCCCTTCACGTTTTTGAACGACGGGACCAACACCTGGAACAGTCCGAGAGACTACGGCAACCACAAACAGGTGCTCAAGTTCTTGGAGCGCAAAGCTGAGATCATTGCCGCATGCTCGGAGACGCTCGACCGTCCAGATGGACATGACACGTACAATTTGCTGCAGTACATGGGCATGCAAGCACAGGTCCATGACATCGAGTGGCTACGCTGGGCTTTTGGTGGCTACCCCATCACTGTCCTTGGCTTCAGCTACGGCACCCGTGTTGCGGCTGCGTATGCATCCCAATTCCCCGGAGCCGTCCAGCGCGTTGCAGTGTCGGGCGTCGAAGCCCCCAACCCAGATCTGCTAGAGTTCGCCAAGGAGTCCGGGCTCAACACGGCGGAGATCCTGGGGTTTGTCCAAAGCCAATGCGCAGAGAGCACATGCCGCAAGAATCCCTTCACGAAGGGTGAGATCAACGAGCCGGGATTTTATTTTGACGGGGACATCAATGCGGCGGTCAAGGAGCTCTTCCACCGCTCCTCGCACGGTGGTAGTTGGTATCCAAAGAGGTGTGGTGGATCCTTTGTTCCAATGACCTTTCTTTCATGGTGTCTGCGTATGCTCCTGGTCTCAATGGATTCCGATCTGGTACAGGAACTCCTTCAATATTTTCAGGATTTCCACACAAGACGGTGCCGCCATTTTGGCAGCTTAGCATCTTTTACCTCATCCCAGCACTTGACATGGCAGGACGGTGGCAGGCGAACCAGGTGGCAAAGTTCATCGCATCGAACGCAGCAGACCGGACGCTAATGCCGGCTGCGTACATGTTTGTCCTGAATGCCCAAGGAGCGTACGGCTGGCCGCAGCTGCCGACGCCTGTTGGCTTCTCGAACCCAACAGTGGATGCGGTGGCAGTCAACACCTTGTATGATGAGCGCACTGGCATGAACATGGCGCAAAGCTTCCAGGAAAACTTCGCGAACAGCACCCTCGTCACTTCGCTTGGAGGTGGTCACTGCGTGAGTCCTGATCACGGTCCGGAAGGCTACAAGACGTTGATGCAGTTCATTTTCTTCCGGTGGAAGCCTTCCAGTGGAGACATGGTGGATCGCTTCGTGAAGATAGACTTCGCGAACGGTGCCAAATTGATGGGTGAATTCTATAGGTATCGGTATTCACTGAGCGGGTAAGCAACGGTCGCAGGAATGTTCGACTTGTTTCGGCATAGGGCCATCCATTCAGGCTGCCGTCGAGAGACGTTCGGCGGAAATGTCCTACCGTTCCAATTATGGCCTGGCCGTGGACTGTGTACAGAGTGCTATACTCGAGTGAGTCCCAAATGAGTGCCGAGCTGTGAGTGTGCTACTATGGGTAAGGTATCTTGAAGTGGGGTTGCTTACTCGAATGAGGCACGTGATGTCTGGGTATGCAGTCTGATGATGCCAGCTGCGGAACACTAGTCGCTAGGATGGGGTGGATTGGTGGTTGGTGGTGAATCCCTTCAACCCGCCCTCAGGTCTGCTGCCTCGGACCGTAAGGGCAGACGAAAAAGAAAAGAGAGCATCGGTAGCACCCTGGTGCAGTGCAGGCAGCTCCTGAGCCCCAGCAGCCAGTGCAGGCTCAGTCAGGCCAAGACTGAAGAGCTGAAGAGTAGGGTTCAATAGAAGGGTTGTGGTGAAAGCTTCTTTTCGGGAAGTGCTCTGGTGAGGTGTGGCAAGCATGGGCATGAAGGCACGACCTACAAGGAATCCTTCCCGCCAGCGGCATGTCTAAATTCTTGCATCAGGCCCAAGTTTGGTGGATCCGGAACAATGGCTACGATGGCCCCGCAAAGGGCGGTGCCAAGCTGTGGGACAGTAGGCGGCGTGAGTCCAGGCGTGGCCATCGAAGCGATCTCAAGCTTCTTGCGAGCTTTTCGAAAGTTATTGGGCGGGCAAAGCCTTTCGTCAGGCGCCGCGGTGAGGAGCTCTTCCGTAGTAGCCTGAGGATCGTTGTAGCCTCGTAGCTTTTCATGGGCTGTCGTCCTGGATGAGCACAGCCTGGACTGAGGGCACGACGTTGACAATTTCGAGTTGTGCGTTCACAACCTCCTCGCTGCTCCGGGCAGCAACAAGCGAAGGATCTTTGCTTTACCCACTTTACCCTGTGGCCCGCACTCCGCATCCAATCATCAAGCTTCGAGGATTCAGCGTGGTCGTGGCAAGTACGGTCATCACGGCCGAACCTGCGGTGAGGGCCTGATGCGTTTTAGCGCTTCAGGCTGAAGGCTGTATCGCGGTGCTGGGCATCAGGCTATGGATCCACGAAGAACGGGGCTGCCAAGCGCGGACGTCGTACGCTGAACCCCGGCTACGAGGTGGGCTTGCATAGATCTACGTGTCAGATGTCTCTGGCGGTGAGTTTGTAGATCGTGCCAGGGCAACCAGAAGCCGCTGCACCTGAAGACTCCCAAGCTCACGAAAGACGTGCCTTTCTGCAGTCGATGCAGTGGCATGTAGGTTGCAGAGACAAATCTGTTTGCTTTAGTCGGTGCTGAACAGCTAGAAGCCTTGTGCAGCAACGCGACTCCATGAAGCAAGACCCCTACACGCCGATTACGTTTTGGGTGCTGGCCCGAGAATCACAGCCGAGCGGCACTGCATCTGTGTTTGTTAAGTGCTCGCATCTCAAAGCCACAATGCACTCCTGTAGGGAGGTTTGTTGTCCATCGCCATTCCGGCATTCTATGAAGTTCAGCGCGGTGAAGTTTATGCTGCTTGTGTTCTTGTGGACATTTTTGCAGGCCCAAGAACACGGCATCACGCCTTTCCATCCTCCCCACGAGTCTAACACCCCACTGCTCCATGTAGCAAACCAGTGGTAGCACCAAAGTAGGCCGCATGGGTCCTCCGTCCAGCTGAAGGAACCCGGCATGCCAGCTTTGAGGTTCCTCTGATCATGCTCCATCGCAGCCCCTTTACGTGGAGGCCTCTGCCAAGGTCAAATCCAGTGCCATTGGTCGCGACTCCAAATTTGCAAGTTTTTTCGGAAAATTTGTGCCGCTATGACAAGCAGGACCTCAACCGAAGGCGACTTGAAGCTGCGGCTTTCGCAGGACTTGCTGGAGCCTTCTGGCGATTTCGCCTGAGGGTCAAGGGCAAGTCGGGCAGGCACGCATCAAGGATACGCTGCAGGTCAGAGTTTGAGAAAGACGCAGAGCAGTACACGCAGCTGGTCGACTGGCTCCGTGCACGGGGAGCCTATGTTAACCAGGCAGTCGGTCTGGTCGAGCGAGACATATTGGAAGACGGAGACTCACGAGCAGAGCGCGGCTGCGCAGCCACGCAAGATGTACGAGCAGGAGAGTTGTTGCTTGAAATTCCACTGAGCTGCTGTCTGTCTTCGGTGCCGGGAAGCTATGACGACATCTTGTCAGCTCTGGAGCCAGCAATGGAACGAGGGGGAATCGCGAAGGCCGACGTGGAACTCGCCCTGGCCGTGGCAGTCGAGCGTCAGCAAGGAGAAGCATCGCCTTGGTGGACATATTTGAGGATGCTCGACTGTAGCCACACCTTTCCACTTTTCTACGACAAGGCAGATCTCGAAGCTTTGGAGAACATCCCCCTGACAGAGTCACTGGAGGTAACCTCCCAAGTCATCTCGCGGATTGCAGAAGCCAGTGGCCTGCCCGACACAGAATTTCGAGAAGCAATGCAGCTGGTGATGGGTCGGCGCTTTGGGTCCGATACATCCAGAGCCATGATGCCGATCGGAGACCTTTTAAACCATCGGTTTTATCCAAGTTGCGAGTGGGAGACGCCCACTCCTGACACTCCGTGTTGGCGATTAAAGTCCAAAATGGACCTCTCTCCGGGTGATTCCTTGAATCACCTGTACTGTGAGGACCCGAACCATCTGCTGTTGCAGCAGTCCGGCTTCATCATGAACGAGAATCCTCACAACAGGATCATGGCCAGACCAGTGGACCTGCGAAATGCTCTCTTCTCTGTATGCAATTCCAGCAGCCCTGAGGACTGTTCTGCAGAACAGCCTTAGCATTGACCGGGGTGGTTGAGGTCCTGGTTTTGGTCCCTCTAGATGGTGCCCTGCTTTGATGTGCCGACCGCAGGACTTTGCTAGTTTTCGCAAGGACGAGGTCGAGAAGCAGCTGCCAGATCCAGATGAAGAAGGGGTCGGGCTCAGCATGTTTCTGGAAACTCGCTGGCAAGATTCACAGCTGAGAGACTTTCTGTAGTCCATGCCTCGTGTGCATGCCCTTGTACTAGGCCTTGCCCGTCTGTTGACATCATGAGGTTGGAAGAAGGCCGGGAGGTCTACAGTGGAACCCGCTCTGGCTTGACATGATAGGCGCGTGCCTGTGATGTGCTTGCATGCTACAAGCTGCTCGTGTGCTTCGGAAGCTGCAGTGTCAGGTTTAGCAGTCACGGAGAGCCCAGATGCACCGCATTGGGGAACCAGTCCTGAAGGCATCGCGTACCTACCCATGAACTGTCAGAGGTAGTTTCCGCATGTCGACATGCGGATCTCATCGTTCATCCAGTGTCGCTGTTAAAATGCTGCCACTCCCTTGCAAGGCATGGAGAAGTACTTGCATGCTCTGGAGACTGCTTCGTGGTCACTGTTTCCAACCTCTCTTGAAGAGGACACGGATGACGGGAAATCTGTTTCATCCAATCTGGAAATGGCGACAGCGCTGCGAAGGGGATACAAGGAACTTCTACGTGATGCTATCGATTCTTTGCGGGTGCGGCTGTCAGGTGGAGGCTGATTGGACAGGGAGTGCAGCAGTTGAAAGCACAGCGTTGGACGACGAGCTCTGTGCGAAAAGACTCGAGCGCAGTTCTGCTAATCCAGCGTGCGAGTCTTGACAAACTGATGCGTAAAAGAAGGCGCATGTTGCCAAGGTCCTGAACATGTTGGAGGATGGTGACGAGGCCAGTATATATGAGATGATGGAGGAGTCGTGGTTGTATTAACACAGCCCTGGCTCAGGTGGACTACATGGACTTGTTCATGCGAGGACTGCCGGTCCCGTCGCGAAAAAGATTTGACAGAGCTCGTGCCTGAGGTTAATGTGAGTTAGGCGGTGATTGAGAGAACCTCTGGTCAAAAAGGTGAAGATCAAAGCAAAGGAAACCGACGTGCCTTGGACAAAGGTTGGACTGATCCTCAATGGCACTGGTGGATATTCGGGTCCTGCCAAGGAGCTGACCGTGAAGAATCTCACAGCGGGACACTGAATTTCGTTGCGACAGACCGTCCTTCAACTAGAGTGTCACTGCTTGCCACTGCAGACCTCGTTCACAGAGCGTTGCTTGTGCACCGTCCTCCCGCTTCCGAACCCTCAGTTGAAGCAGGTTTTCGCTCATGCCTTCGAGCCAGCTGCTCGTGAGAAGATTGAGGAGAATGGTGGCAGGTAATTTGACTGCAAGCATCCATCCGTATATTGGTGCTTCGAGTTGTCTCCACCATTCGGGAGTGCAGAACATGCTCGTTGCCGGGGCAGGGGAGGGGTAACATGTCATAGTCGCCGGAAGCCCCCGCCGCTGGACCCACTGGTAGTCTCCGGGTCGCCGCCGGAGGTGCATTCGCTTGTCAGACGTGGGCAGCTTGCCGATTGACGCCAAGTGGATGAGCACGAACGAGTTCAAGGTTTGCTCCTGGGTCGGGAGGAAATAGACTCGGGCTGGCTGCAAATGTTTTGTGTAGGTGGGCGCCGGAGACGATTCCAAGGAGGAGGCCGAGGGAGAGGAGGCACCCGCTGAGGACCGGATGGGTCATAGGCGTCTCTGCAACGTTCCTGCCTTCGAATACATGCATCTCGTACCCAATCTGTCGCGCGAGGAGTGATCTGCGCAAGGAATACAGCCCACAGAAAACAAAACAGCTTGCTGCACTGTTTGCATGTCGGCTGACTCGAAAACTACTTGTATTGTGCTGCTTGTGATGTATTGCCTCATTGCGGGTGCCTCTTCGGGCTTGGTGGAGAAGCACCCCTTGGTACACGTCGGAGGTCCACTGTCCGCAGTCTTGCTACATGGCGGCTGTGCGCAGCTTGTTTTCACGGCGGCGCAGATGGTCCCAGCAAGTCAACTCACCAGTCACGTGCATTAACACGCTAGTATACGCTACACTAGTAGAGACAGTAGCAGTTTCTGAAACATCAGCACAGAGCTATGACCCGCGGCCCTGGAGCTCCGCCACCTGGCTGGCGGCCAACGGTGAAAGGTGGCCTGCGTGTTGCACCAAATCCAGCTTAGAGAGGCCGAGTCCAAGAACCTTCCCAGGCCGAAACAGCAAGGCCGACGTGTGCCTTGGATGCGGAGGATCCCAGCCTCGGCTTGTCATGTGCATGTGCCAGAGCTCACAGACCTGAGGTTTGCCACTGACGCGGCCTAAGCCACGTTGCAGCACCCCTGCTGCGGGTCCCATTCTCTGGACAGCAAGGCCGCCACCGGTGGCAGCCTCGTCCTACCCGACGGCCGCAAGCTCAATGGCAGTTTCCATTTTGGCATTGTTTTTTGTCGTTGTTTTGTTTCTCCGACAGACGCTTTCGCCTATCCGATTGTCCGAGGCGGTGCTCCAGTGAGCGGAAGCCGCTTCCGTGTCGAGCCAGGACCGTCAGGGATTTGAAGCATGGCATCTAATTAGGTCTTAAGCCACCGGCGTTAAAGCACCTCGTGACATGCTCTGCGCCGCTGCGCTTCGCACGCTCAGGAGCCAGCGGGCTGCCGGAGCAAGCAAAGCCCGGGGCCGGGCAAGATGCTAAGAGTGCAGCATGCACCGTCGGCTCTGGTCCAGTGCCTATGCCTGATTCTGGATCCTAGTTCAGGACGGCAAAAGTTCCTGAAAGGCTCGGGCATTCGTGTAAGCCTCCTCCAATGTCCGCGTAGAGCTGCAGAGGCTCATTTGCACCGATGCAGGAACACCTCGTCAGAGCCATATCCTGCACCAAACATTCTGCCTGAGCCTAAACTGCTCATATCAGCTGAGTTCAATGAGTATGGCCATGCCTCAACAGGGACAAGCTCCTCGATGGAACCCAGATGCAGCTTGACTCAGCAGACTACGGGCGTAAGCCTCGGAATGCTTATGCAATGGCCGTGAGGCCGTGCTAGAATCAAGCGAGACGCGCGCGAGACGGACCTTCAATCTTCTTGCCAGAAGGCGATTCTCTGCAGTTCCAGGCCAGGAAAGGGGAGAGTTGTGCTGATGCTTGCATGATGCACTCTGCATCCGTGCCAGGAGTAAGGCCGGCACATCGCGGGAGTCAGCCTGAGCCTGCGGTCGGGCGCCTGGCTCTTCGAGATGCCTTCGGAAATGCACCCACGAAAGTGTTGCAAAGTTAAAAGTTCAGGTTGATGTTGGAGGCCTAAGGCCCAGATTTCGGCGGTGCCGTCGGCTTTGACTCCAGTCCAGCGGTCCCCATGGCCAAGGACAGGTGCAACCCAACAGAACGACAGCCTCTCAGAGGCTCGGAGCTCTGAGACATCTTCCTGCTTCTTGTCGCTTGCTTGAAACGGTGCTTTCGTGCCGATAAGCTTGAGGCCCGAATGGGACAGCCTTTTCGACGACCTTAACGATGGGGAGCGAAAGGTGCCTTGTGTGTGTGTGTGAGAGAGCAAAAAGCCTATTCGAGTCTTGAGTTGTGTGACGCAGTGGTGCTTCTGTCTGCATCAATTAATGCAAGTTTTTGCAGCAGTCATACAGGACTCGGCTCCAGAGGCCGGACTTGCGGCTGACGTCGTTTCAGCTCTGCCCCTTTTCGTTTTTCGTGCAGGGGGATCCCGCATCGGAGAGCTGGAGGCAAAGAGCACGCTGCGAATTGGACTTCTGTCATTGCAGGATTCGTGTGCCCTGTCAGGGCTGGCAGCACGGTCGGTGCATCACTGAGACATGTTGTGACATGCCGTAAGCATAAAGCAGCGACGCCCAAACGAACGCTCGCTTAGCTCCAGGCCCCGACTGGGACCATTTGTACAAGAGGCGACTAGGGACCAGTGAGCCTCGGCAGTTTTTGGTTCTGCGCATCCGCCATGTTCGTGTCGAGGCTCCCGGCAGTTCCTCGGCAGCAGCGGGGGAGGGGCCCTCGCATTGTGACGCTGGGTTGCGCAATGCTTTCCAGCCAACAGGCTCGCGATGGAGGAGAGAAGAGGCAGAAGTGCATGCTGCCCGGACGTTTTGTGACTTTTGTTGCTGCCTCAGGGCCGACGATGATGCTCTTGACTATGCTGCACTGTTCAGTGGAGCGTCGGGGGCCTGGAACAATCGAGAAGGTGCAGATCAAGGCATGTCAGTGACGGTCAGCATGTCACGATGGATCCAGGACAGATCCCGACGACGATGATTTGGCAGATCTGGTCTCCGTCTCGGTGTCCCACATATATATATATATATGTATGTATGTATGTATGTAAGTATGTATGTATGTATGTATGTATGTATGTATATATATATATATATAGGTTTGTGTGTGTGGCATTCTGGGCAAAAGAAAGATAGAGGGCAGGAGGCAGCAGGGAGTCCATAGTTTCGCTGCCAACGAAAACAGCCGTGGATAGTACATGATAGTACCAGCGATTTGAAATGGCCCTCAACAATGCTGTTGTTCTGCAGTGGCCGGAAGCCAATTCCATCAGATTCAGGACGCGAGTCCGAGCTTGAGAAATCGCATGAGATGAGCACTGAAGGAAGGGAAACGTAGCGAACTTGCTAACTCATGTGATAGCTCCGGCTGTCTCGACGGTCGATTCACGTGTGCGATTCCGGCTGGAAATCTGTCATAGTGCCAGTCGTGAGACTCCAGGCTGAGCGCAACGTTTCAACACAGTGCTTTGCTACAGTATACAGTCGCTCCTACATACCGCTTGCTTGGCCTGCGGAGATCTCAGACCTCGAGCAGCGGTACGTGGGGGCTGTGGCTTTGACTTGCGAAGCCCCATAATTGCCAAGAGTCCAAGAACCTAGACAGACAGTGCAGGGTGCTGCGGCTGGGCTTATGAACTCGTACAGAGCAGCACTGAACGCTGTCTGTAGGTCGGGAGGGTCGTAGGTCAAGACAATTTTGTCAACTGACTCCAATAGTCCTCCAGTTTTGGTCTCACATGGGCGCACGAAAGATAAACAGCAGGGGGCAGCAAGTGTTCAACAGTTCTGCTGCCAACGAAGACACTGCAGATGCTCCGTGAAGCAGAACTAGACACCCCGCACTGTTTAAAATGAGAAGGCCACCCCAAATTGCCCTCAACACAGAGCTGTTGTTCCGTAGTGGCCGAGGAAGTGAACTCGATCAGATTCGGGATTTGAGTGATGCATCCGGTGCAGCTTGAGAATTCACATGAGATAAGCACTGATGGAAAGGACAATAATAGCTAGCTTGCCAACATGTGCTAACCCCTGTGATAGCTTTGACTATCCCGAGGGTCGATTCAAACATGTGCGTGTGCGTGCGTGTGTGTGGGTGGGTGGGTGGGCGGCATCTCACTTTTTGCGACGGTGCTGCGAGAGGTTCCCACAGACACTCGGGCCTCCGCCTTGCTCTCGTGGTGGCACGTCGCATGCGCAACAATCCTTTTGATGAAACCAACGTGTGAGGCTGAGAAGGCTAACCCCGCAAGCGAGCGAGGTGGCAGGTGGCCAAGTCGTGCCGGAGTAGCAGTTTAATGGTAGCAGATGATCCGCACACAAACAGGCGTAGCCGTTGCAGTTCACTTTACTGCACCCGAATTTAGGTGCGTCGTCCGTGTCGCCTCCTCGCGAGGTCCACGCTTGCAATGGGTTGCCCAGCGCAGCCGTTTAATCACGACAAGCGTTCTTGCAAATGCGCAATGGGTCAGACTGCATGTCCTGCAGGATGCAAGGGGCACTGCGGGCAACAACTCGAAGGTCCCGGATTTGAGGGACGTGAGGGCAGAATCGGGCTTGTGCCGCTTTGCCACGCGCTGTGAAGGAGCTCGAGCACGAGGAAGAGGTCAACGTCGCACAGCGCCGCCTTGTCTTCGTGCGAGCCTCAGACAGCACAAGAACATGGCGAAACTGTGGCATTGACGGTCAGGATTTGGACTCCAGCCTGGTGGATCTTGCGTCCCGTCGGCAAAGCAGTCACAAGTCAGAAGTGTCAAACGCGATGTAATTATCTTCGGTTTGTGGGAGACAAGGCATGCCATTGGCAGAAGGACTGTGCATGCCTCCAGCGAGCGGCCATGAGAAACGTGGGACGCTGCAGTATGGTATCCTGGGTCACTTCAACCTCTCCGGCCATGCTGACGAGGGAGTCCCTCCTCCCAGACAACTGTACGCACGGCAGCGTAGAGTCCACATGTGGCTGAGAGGTGGAAGCATGGGGCGAGAAGTTGATGCCCAAGGGCACGCTGTCGCTGGTACATTGCTCAGCTTGTCTTGGAGCTATTCCATGCTCCACAGATGAAAAGATTGAGGCTGACTTCCGATCTCATGGTGTCGAGCTCGATCTTAGCGACACGCACGTCGTGAGCTTGGTCAGAAGGCGATTGAGTGGGCAAATCCAAGCCCTCCTCCAATTTAGGCTGTCTCGTCTGGTTTCCAAGAGCTGGAGGAGTTTGCCTCCTGGCAAATTTAGGCTTCTAATGTCCATTCCAGACTAGAGGGCGATGGGATTTGGCTGGCTTTCTTTTCAAGTCCTCTTCATAAATGTGTGGTGCGATGATCAGTCCTGAGCTAAGTCCAGCGCAGTGAAACGTGACGGCACGGCACGGGATCCAAGCGGGACAGCGAGTGCACGCACTTTCTTGCGAGTTCGAGCCGCGGAGGTCACGACCCTGAGACTCTCCCGAGCCAGGATCGGACCCGGCCTTATTGCAGGAAGCGGACAGGCTTGAAACACAATCCGTCCATCGAGGTAACTCCGGGGCAAGCTGGATCGCAGGAGGGAGCTGGCACGATCAGTGCGTCCCTGAGATGCTACCAGTACTAGCCAGGAGCTCTCATGCGGAATTTTACCCTGACGGAGCTGGTGCTGCCGCCCCAGCAAGGGCAATGTGGCGTGCATCAGGCATTGAGAGTGGCCTGATTTTGTTGGGCTGTATTTTCAATCCAGGCTGAGCAGCAATTCCATCTCGGACGAAGGGATCGTGCCTGAACGGCAATGAGAATTAGACAGAAGGTGCAGTCAAACGCATGCCAAGTACGTCCTGTGCAACCGACGATGTTGTGCTGTCAGTGATCTCCAGTAGTGGCAAGGACCCGCTTGCTGCTGTGCTTGACAGCAACAACACGCTCAAAAAGCTGCGCCCTCAGAGATCTATGGCGGAGCCACATCCCAGCTGCACTGGAGATTCCGAGGATCGATCTGTCGGACAACCGGGTGGGGTCGAGGACACTGAGATGCGCAGAGTGTGCAGTCCAGTTATCTAGTCAGGGTTCTTCCGCCAAATGCAGTGTGTCGGCAAGAGCGTGAGCCTTGCAAGGGGTTTGCCGTCGGGTCATGAGCATACCGCGATTTGGGGGTGGACAATCCGAGTCTGCCTGGAGAGGGGTGCGCAGCAGCTGGCGTCGGCCAGCTCCAGGCCCGCCCGAGCGGAGTGGGCGCTGGAGCAGGTCTTTCTATTTTTCGTTGCTCCGTGCCAGGAACCGATCCCTGACATACCTTGACCTCAGTAGGAACAGCGTTGGAGACCAGGGTGTCCTGGGCTCTGGTGTTGTTTGTTGCAGCTTCTGTTTGCTGTTCCCTGCCTGTTTCCGAAGAATCGCCGAAGAAGTATCCAAAGGCCGAGGAGTTCCTCTCCGTGTTGGATGTGGCGGTTCGACCGCGGCCGTCAGCCCGGAGCCCGGAAGAGACTTGAAGCTGCTACAAGCCCTGCTCCGACGGCATCATTCTGTTGGCAAGCCGTGTCTTGATGTAGGCACAGCCTGCAAAATGCCTCAAGGCTCTACGCATATTGGACTTAGCGGGCAACTCCATCACCAGGCACCGCAAGGCAAGCTAAGACGTGGCAATTCCCGGCATGCCCCGCTCACAGGCGCACCGAGGAGCGGCTCCTTTCTGCCTTTCACCGTGGAATCACGGTGCCCTTCCTTGGTGCTCTTGTGAGTCTTTCGGAATGTTTAGAGTGGTGCCGCTCCGTCCGCGCAGGTGCTGGAGTCGTTGCACCTGTCTGACTCGGACAGGGCGAAGGCATCCCAGTCCGTCCATGGCATGCACGTGCCACGGAGTGCATTGTTGACGTTCGTGCTCGCTTCGGTATCGGTATTGGAGGTGGGACTGCCACCAGAACCACAGCAAATCAACTGCTGCTTCAACTACTTGTACAATTCGACAGCGACAGCGACAGCCAGGACCACAGTTACAAATCGACGACGATGCACCACTGCAGCCACAAGCCATCGGGTAGGGAGACGGTAGAATAAGGAGGCATGTAGACAAAAGAGGAAATCCTGGCCCTTGTATGAGGAAGGCGTTCTTGTCTCCGTCCTACTGGTGCTGGACAGTAACGTTTTGTAAGGCTTGCCCTCTTGGTGGTGTTAGTTCAAGAGCCGCTGTAAGCGGCAGGCTTGCTGTGCTGGCTTGAAACTCCCAGCACTCCCTGAATATTGTTTCGAGCGGCCGTATGGTTGAAATGACTCGGTCAACTGGCTAATAGCAGAACAGCGCAGCACAGCCGAGCTCCATCCGGCTCCGGATATACCTCGCACTGTACCGCCAATGCTGTCACATGCTACCACCATGGCAGGTCACGTGCAAGGATCTGCACGATGGCGCACGCATGCAGTCCCAGTGCACGTTGGGAACCCAACTTCATGTTGCAGTCCTCAGACCTGGGCTCCTGGCCCTCATTGTTGCATATCGGTTGGAGTGGCATTTACAAGGACGAGCCGGCTTCCGCAGAGCCGAGTCCGGGTCGAGTTTGCGTTTCAATCGATAACCTATTCAGACCTTCTCAACTAACGGTCATTCTGATAATTATTCTTGTTTTTCTCCGCTGTGGAGTTTGGGGGTCGGCAGGCTTGAGCGCTCTCCCCCGCAGGCACCGGCTGCAGACGAGGGCAAACCTCCCCGGTTTACGGTGCGCGGCTCTTTTGTTTGACTGTAGCAACCGCTGGCGACGTGCAACCATGCTGGTGTTGTGTGGCAGTGCCGTCTTGTGTGAATCGGCAGGTCATTTGCACGCAGCAAGGCATCGAGATCCGCGCTGGCAGAGCTGGGTGGCTGCCCAAGCTGTAAAGCGCAATGCTAGAAGCCTGCGAGACATTCGGATCGACCGGCAGGCCGCGGGCGCAGATCAGCAGGAGTCCTTGAGACGAGCCCATGGGAGAAGAGGTTGTTGAGCGGAAGCCAAGGCTGGGAGCAAGATCAAGGAGATGTTGAGGTGGTCCTCAAGCGGGCCGAGATGAGGAAGTGCGATGCAGCGTGGCTCGCCGACTCTTTCGTCCTTTTTTTGTATATTGATTTCAGTTTTTAGTTCCTCTGGGGCAACGCCGTGTCTCTGCTCTGCGCTGTGGCGGTGCTTTGAGTCGCCCGTTCTTGGCAGGGTGGTGGATGTCGCTTTCGGCTACCGGAGACTGAAAGTCACAGTGCGCCCGCTATGATTTGGGGAGGCTTCCAGTGCGCTGTCTCTCCACGAGCTTAAAAGCCGTGCATCACATTGCAAAGTTTGGTCACTCAAGACGTGGCAGTTGAGGTACGAGCAGAGCTGATTATGGACATTGAGCTCTTCGCGCTGCAGACTTTGCAATTTTCAGCGATATTCAGCGGATAGCAGCAGAGTTTAAGAAGCACCTGTCGCGGACCTCCTCTAGAATCTCAGGCGCATTCGGCCGGAGGATTGCGCGTGGACGGTCGGCGACGGTTACCTGCAGATAGTTTTGGCCAAGGCAGAGTCTCCAATGTAGTGCCGTAGTGCCCTAACACATCCGCGCGACTCTTGCTGTCGACCTTTCATTTCGGTTCTGGTATTGGTGCCACTTAGGGGCGCAGGGCTCTCGGCGCGCGGCCGATGGCAATTCCCGCCCGTGTGTTCGATGCTGTTCAATGCCGCAGAAGAAGGTCGCCAATTCCGGTGCTCACTTCATTCACATGACATCTCGAATTTACACATGGCCAAGGTGAGCTTCCTCTGTAGCCAGTATTCAGCCATTCTGTTATACTATGTGGGTGCGTCCGAGAAGACACTCAAATTTCCGGCGTCTTTGAGCTACGTGACATCTCGAGGTCTTCCCAAGCACTTGTGCCTGGGCTTTTGGTTGGCGGGCTGGTTTTGTTTCTTGCGAGTTCTCAATGCTCGCAGAGAGACAGGTCTTGGCATCTTCACTGTGCTGATGCTGTTCACCGCAGGTGTGACTGCTCGGTTTAACCGGCCCCACCAGCCAGTCTGGCACGATCGCATCCACATGGCTGCTGCGTCTCTCTATGTTCTCTGCCACATTGTCTTGATGGATGTCCTCGCGATGAGCTCAATGTACAGAGCAGGCTTCTATGCTTCGATGATCATCGCAGCAGCATCCCTGCACTGGAGCAGGAGAATAAAGACAGAAGCAGGGGTGCCTGTGAAGCATTCCTCAAGCGCGGAAGAGTTTCGTGACCTCTTCGCGCAGCTGAGCAGTTGGCACAGCACCCAGCTTTGGTGTGCCGAACTCTTCTTTATGCTGTCTGAAAATCTGATTTTTACCTCCTTCGTTTTGGGCCTGACTTCTGGTCTGGATACCCGTGACTGCGCAAGCGAGTAGACCAAGAAATAGGTTCTTGGAGATGCGTTGGAGTAAATGGGAGTAAATTAATGACATTGTAGCACCACTTCATTAAGGAAGGCAAGACTGGGACACAGATGGCAATGCACAGGTGTCTTGCATTGGTTGCCTTGCAGGCCGAAATTGGGCGCTGGCAGTCGCTGACGGCGTGAGGGCGACTTGAAAGTTGAGCCGAGAGGCATTTGGTTCCGATGCATCTTCATGCATGTCGTATAGAGAATGCAACATTCTGCAAGTTGCGTGTGGTCCGCTATGGTCCGCTTCATGGCAGAGACATTTGGGCCCAAGCACGATATGGCCTGGCACCTGAATCCACGAGCCTGGCTACAGGACTGAAGGGACACTGAGGTCACCTTGCATCCCAAGCCAGTGTAGATCTTCACGCTGCATTGGAAGGACTGAGATCTTCAACACGATGCTGCGTGGCTGAAATGTTGCATGGTCGAGTGCAGTGGTGCACGAATTGCGGACACCACGCCCTACGCGCAGCACTCCGGTTGTGCCATTGGTGGCTTATGAAAGCTTGCCAGACCAATCTAAGCCAGTTCGATGGCACCCTTCTGAGGTTCGACTTCATCTTTCCCGATCCGCAGGTGCGCTGCTGTGCGTCAATCACAAATTGCCTTGAGTTAGCCAGTCAATCTATTTGGCCGTTGATACCGGCTGTATGTATCTGTCTCATATTATTATTAATAATTAATAATTTATTAAGCTTACACAAGTCGCATCTAACAGTTACTGAAATACATTAACGAGACTACTTTTTGGATTATTTGGCATCGGTAGCAACATCATCCCATATTCTCTCTAAACCCGGGCACACATATATAATATGTGTGTATACTGTATATGTCAATGCAACGCATGTACGTAGCCGCACATGTACGTACGCACGTACTCACGCAGGTATGTATGTACGTATGTATGTGTATGTGTATGTCTGTGTATGTATGTATGTATGTATGTATGTATGTATGTATGGTATGTACGTATGTACGTATGTACGTATGTACGTTTGTATGTATGTATGTATGTATGTATGTATGTATGTATGTATGTATATTTATGTATATGTATGCCTGTGTATGTGTATATATACAAACATAAGACTAAGTAAGTAAGTAAGTAAGTAAGTAAGTAAGTATTTATGTACATGTATATATGTATAAAAGCAGGAATGTATGTATGCATGTATGTGTGTACGCATGTATGTATGTATG